GACAGCAACGAAAACCTGACAGAGACTGTAACCGTTCCCCTCTCCTCTAAACACTTTTATTGCTGTCTGTGTCTCTAGTGGCACTTCCCCACTGACCACCAATGTAAGGGGGCGCTTCACTGACCACCAATGTAAGGGGGCACTTCTCTACTGACCACCAATGTAAGGGGGCACTTCTCCACTGACCACCAATGTAAGGGGGCACTTCTCCACTGACCACCAATGTAAGGGGCACTTCTCCACTGACCACCAATGTAAGGGGGCGCTTCACTGACCACCAATGTAAGGGGGCACTTCTCCACTGACCACCAATGTAAGGGGGCGCTTCACTGACCACCAATGTAAGGGGGGGCTTCTCCACTGACCACCAATGTAAGGGGGCAGTTCTCCACTGACCACCAATGTAAGGGGGGATTCTACACTGACCACCAATGTAAGGGGGCACTTCTCCACTGACCACCAATGTAAGGGGGCACTTCTCCATTGACCACCAATGTAAGGGGGCACTTCTCTACTGACCACCAATGTAAGGGGGTAATTCTCCACCGACCACCAATGTAAGGGGGCACTTCTCTACTGACCACCAATGTAAGGGGGCACTTCTCCACTGACCACCAATGTAAGGGGGCACTTCTCTACTGACCACCAATGTAAGGGGGCACTTCACTGACCACCAATGTAAGGGGGCGCTTCACTGACCACCAATGTAAGGGGGCACTTCTCCACTGACCACCAATGTAAGGGGGCACTTCTACACGGGACCAAGCTTCAGTATTTTGAGAGCCAGTGGTCGGCCCCGCTGGCTCTCAAAATACCTGAACCATCTGATTGGATGCCGGCATTGTTCAGGTATTTTGACAGCCAGCGGGGCCGACTAGCAAGATACTGGAGCTTGGCCCAGCGGGAGATTCCTCCAGCCACACAGTTTAGCGTAGATGGAGGAATCTGTGTCACTTTCTCCATCTGACCATAGAACATCTGCAGATAATAACCTATAGGTGTATGGCCAGCTTTAGGCTAAAAGGTAACAAAAGACGTATCCATGAAGGTGTAAAACTGCAATAATATAGTATGTGAAGTCACCATAAACATGTACAGAGGGGGGAATTTATTAAAACTGGAGCAGACAAAATCTGGAGCAGCTGTGCCTGGCAGCCAATCAGCTTCTCTCTTTCATTTTCAAAGCTTAAATGAACAAAATGAAGAGACAAGCTGATTGGTTGCCATGGGCAACTGCTCCAGTTTTGATAAATCCCCCTCCCCCATAGGGAGTTCTCTAACTCTGATTATATCATCATTCGGAGATGTCATCCTTTAGGCCTCATTCACACAGCTTAGAGTCGGCCCGCAGAGATCCGTGCGGCATGCACGGCTGTATCAGGCCGCTCCTGGGAAGGACAATGAGACTGTCACAGGTCGGCTCAGTAGATCGGGAGGTGAGCGAACACATACCGGCATTCGCTCACGGCTCTCTGCCGTGACAGGGGAGGGGCTGGATTCCCCCCGCTCCGATCCACCAGCGCTGACTGGCGTAACGGACAGGGGAGGGGGCGGGTACAGCTGGCTCTGCCTCTAGATAGGCAGAGCCAGCTGTCAGTCACGCAGCTGTGCGGATCTCGACATTGATGGTCCGCTCCGGCTGCGGCGTCTCAGTATACCACGAGCTACAGCTCGCAGTATACTGAGCTTAGGGTGACGGGAGGACGCTAGTTTGTGTCCTCCCGTTACCCTAAGGGGAACTATTACCCTAAGGAGAACAATTATGCCGGGATCCGCCCAGCTGCGTCAGTGACAGCTGCCTCTGCCTATCTAGAGGCTGAGCCAGCTGTCCCCACCATAACGGTGGGTTGCCCAGGCTGAGGGGATGCAGGGTGACTCAGATACGTCAGTCCACTGAAGCTGGCCATCCATCGACTCTATGTGATATTACCAAAATGTCCTCAGTGGAAGAGTGGGCAATGCATACAAAATGGCGTCCATGCCTGAATCCCAGAGCGCCATTCAGAAGAATGAACAGTATCTAGACATATCAACTCCCTTGCTGTGCCCCCCAAGAGCACCTACCAGAGTACCCAAGGCTGCTTACATTTCCACTGAATACATCAAGTACAATTTCTGGTAGGTGGAGCATGATGACCTATATCACGTCTTATATTGGACACCCCTCACCTTGGCCTACAGATCAGGAGCCAGTTGTAAAAATACGACACAATGCCTAGTCATAGTTCATAAAAATGTGAATGGAGAATTTATATAGTTCATTTTCTTTAAGCCGTTATCCTTTGGCATCAGTATAGCTGGTTGGTATGCTGCCATCTTGCGGGCGTTTTGGTTATTGCACCAAGTTTTCCGTACTCCCTCCCCTTGTGTGTGATGTACTTCTCCAAGTAGTCGTTTTGTGCCGCCCCAATGGGGCATAGAAGTTTATTTTTATAGAAGTTTTATATAGATTGTTTCTCTATAACTTTTCCTATAGCCATTCTACATATGTTAGTTATACACTGCCATCTAGTGGCCTTTTGTGATATTGCACCTGTTTTTCCTGTATTCCTTTCCTCAAGTGATGACACATTTCCTCTGTATGTAAGCCCCACCCTTCTTTTTTTTGATCAGTACTTCCTGTGCCATGGCCACAGCTAACAGCCACATGTAACTAGGACACATGTACTCTGCATAGTACGTTAGAAAAGGCATCATTTTTTGACCGCATAATACTGAAAACCATCCATCTGCTGTATCCTGTTGTCTGATGTACAGAATAAAGCACTTTTTGTGGATGAACACGGTATTGGTGAGTTCAGCTATCTGATATGGATTGTCCGCAGTGATTATATCTGCTTATACAGGCCAGGCATAGAGGTCTCACAAGGGATATATCGCTATCACAACAATCGGGAGTCAGAATACGTTTAGTGTCATGGCTGCCTATAGAAGGTTCCACACGTAATATGCTCGCTTGGAAACATTATCATCCTTGACCTTCAGATACTGTCTGTTCATTCATCTGCTGTATCCTGTTGTCTGCTGTAACCTGCTGCATGCAATAAATGGATGGTCCTGGTAGCAGGAGCGCCGGTGGAGGACCATCCATCCACCTTGGTCCATCACGCCACCGATCTGAAAGGAAGAATACGGCCCCATCGCTCAACATCACGCCACGCTTTCCTTTCTGTTGCAGTGTTGACAACAGGTGAGTTCAATACCTCATACCCCCCACCAAAGGCAACCTGTGTCATTGCGCCAGGTTGTGGTGCTTCGTTCTCTACTTTTCTGCTGAGGAATTTACGTCTCAGCTCCATCTAGTGGCGGGAGTGTGAACAGCATTCGCCCAGCAGGGAGGAACAAGGCTCTGAATAGGCCCTCTCTCCATCAGTCAACTCTGCAAATACACACGTCGGACAACCCGGTCCGGATATATTAGGAGCCGCACTCCAGCACACGCGACCTCCTTCTATTCCCGCCCCCGAAGAGCGCTTAAAACATTGGGCTTTCTTCTAGAACTTTTCCCATGCTCCTCGGGGCCACCTAGTGGCGGCAAAGCCGTGCGAACGGCATTCTCCCAGCTATACGTTTCTTCATCAGCCCTTTGCGATTGGTAAATTGATGAGGTCGGGGCAGAGTATGTAAGACCCCCGCTGACGTCATCACGGCCAATGCAGGTCCACTAGATGCGAGCAGAAGGGGGAGAGGTGAGCGCTGACCGCCGCAGGACCGAGGATCAGGTGAGTATGTTTTCTGTATTCTGACCCCTAGACCAAAAGGAGCATTTAACCCTTGCAATGCCCAGGGGGGGAGGGGGGTGGTAGCCCCCACTGAAAGGGATCACTTTGCTGGAGTTCTTCTTTAAATCGCTGACAAAATGTAAAAAAAAGAGGCCAAACTGCACAGTCTCCATTTTTGGTTTTGCTCATTTTATTGACAATACTACAAAAAAAAAAAAAAAAAGTCAGATCATAAATATTACATGTAAACTACGTATGTGGTGTTGAGAAGGAATAAGATACTGCGGTACAAATGGGGGACGATATACAAAGTCAGGAAGGTCAGGTTTCCGGTGCAGCAGAGCCTTACCCAACAGGAAGAAGCAGAGCAAGTCCCGGAGAAGCTGTAATGAAAGCTGAACTCCGGGCAGACATAAGAGACACAGAGGAAAGCAGATTGTGTAGGCTTAGTGTTAGCCTCTTGCTACAGCAGAGCTCAGAGTGTGAGAGGAAGAAGCACCACGAGACGTTAGTAAGCTGTGCTGACAAGAGACATGCCGATAGGAGAGGGATAAAGGTATGAGCTCATCACTCCGTTGTTTCTCCTTTACTGCCCAGTCACAGCCTGGGGATGGGGTGGGCGGGGTGGCAAGATCGTTACTTAACTGAAGCAGGCTTCCCACCCTGCCAGACAGGGCTTAGTTGTGTGGCAGGGCTGACTATATCTCAGGGCTGGATTGACAGCAATACTAATCCTTTGGCAGGCAAAACTTCCCCCATGGATGTATTTCTTCTTACCTGTTTGAATAGAGTTCAAGCTACAATGGGTTTGGGTCACTTTTCCTTTATCTTGTTCTGTCCATAAGATTTAATACTGTTTTTTATGTCTAATATCCTTTTTTCTACAAATAAATACTTTATACAGGGTGCCTCCTGGATGCTGGCATCATAGACCATTAAGAGTCTTCCAAAGCAGAAGCTGCCTGCTTTCAGACTGTCTCTCTCTAACTGAATATCCACATAGAACCATATAAAACAGAAAGGCAGACGTGGGGGAGGGGTGATGGGTAGTTACTATTCCAACTTATTCACAAGGGTTTGTAATCTGAGCTTCAGCTATTGAGATCTGTAAACAACAGACTTTTTTTTAGTGGAGCAGCTTAGGTTGACCATGTAAAAAGTTCCACCTGCAACTTCCACAAAAACACTATAGGGTCCATTCCAAGAAGAGTTGCTGTCAGTGGTTCTGTAGACAAGATGGACCATTGCTCTGTATATTAGTAAAATGTTTCCCATCACCTTGTGTGAACTTTCTCGTGTTTGACCAGAGTTGACTTTTGAGTGAAACACCTTCCGCACTCGGCGCAAGAAAACGGCTTTTCCCCCGTGTGAAGCCTCTCGTGTCTCACCAGGGACGTTTTCTCCGTGAAACACTTTCCACATTCGGAACACGCAAACGGCTTCACGCCCGTGTGAGTCTTCTGGTGGTTGGAGAGACGCGACCTGTCCGTAAAGCATTTCCCGCACAGGGAACACAAATACGGCTTCTCCCCCGTGTGGACTTTCTCGTGTTTGATGAGAGTTGCTTTCTGGGCAAAACATTTCCCACAACTAAAACACGAATATGGCTTCACCCCCGTGTGAGTCCTCTGGTGGGCGACCAGGGTGGTCCTCTCCGTAAAGCATTTGCCGCATTCCGAGCAAGAAAACGGTTTCACCCCGGTGTGGACTTTTTCGTGTCTGATCAGAGTGGACTTCTGGGTGAAACATTCCCCGCACTCAGAGCAGGAAAACGGCTTCTCCCCAGTGTGAGTCCTCTCGTGTTTGGCCAGGTTCGTTCTTTCAGAGAAGCACCTCCCGCACTCGGAGCAGGAGTACGGCTTGTCTCCCGTGTGGACCTTTTCGTGCATTTTGAGAGACGACTTCTGGAAAAAAGACTTCCCGCATTCGGAACAAGAGTAGGGCATCTCCCCCGCATGGATTCTCCGGTGGGAGACGAGTTTTGCTTTACAGACAAAGCATTTCCCGCACGAGGAACACGGGAACGTTCCGCCCCCTGTACGAGCCACATGATGGCCGACTGGGTGGGACGGATTCAATGATAGATCGGCACTGTGAGGTGCTGGCTGGAGACCTGCGCCAATGACGTCCTCTTCTAAAGGACCAGACGTAACATCATCATCTACCTCACCCTCTGGCATTGGAAGTTCTGTGTTGCATCTTCCGCACCGTCCATCTTCTACATCGTCGTTCTCTTCTAAAGGACCGGACGTGACATCATCATCTAGCTGACCCTCTGGGAAGACCATGGGAAGATCTTCTGTGTTGCATCTCCTGCATCGTCCATCTTCTGCACTGTCGCTCTCTTCTAAAGGACTAGAAGTGACATCATCATCTAGTTGACCATCTGGGAGGACCATGGGATGTTCTTCTGTGTTGCATCTTCTGTAGCGTCCATCTGGAGGAAATAAGTGAAAAAAAATAAGAATGCCATGAGCATCTTCTGCCTAAATCGGCAGCAGGACAATGGTTCTTCTCCAAAATGGGTTTTACCATAATGGCCCCTGGAGACCAGTAACTTGGGTGGTGGAGTTAGAAGTGGGAGCGCCGAGCCTAAAAAATTGGCCAATTGTCATAACTTTTCCTTATTTGCCTTCTCTCTTCTAATCACTTGTGGGTGGGTGGGTGGGTGTGGCTACATTCATTAGGAATATTGTAGGGGAAGAGGGGGCTGAGGATGTAAAGAGGAATCCTAAGGTTATTTATGAATCGGGAAACATGAAACCATCTCTCTTTTCTCAAGTTTGGTCAAAGTATACTTCGAGATACCTCACCCCACAAGAGGGATTGGTGATTTTACACTGGGGTACCCTGACGAATAATTACCTTTGTAACGTCATGATTTGTGGTGGAAACATCAGATGGGTCGCAATAAGATGGAGCTATATGAATCCCAGGAGCCAGATCGCCAGTGCTCCTCAAACATTACAGCTGGTGCCCAACCTTTGAGGTTTTTGCTCCTAAAAAAAAACCATTTGGCTCCTGGAGACGACAGACTGGCTCTGGAATTCCATGTGACTTTGTGGTGGATACATCAGATGGGTCGCAATAAGGCAAGGCTGAATGAATCCCAGGAGCCAGGTCGCTAATGCTCCTCAAACATTACAGCTGGTGCCCAACTTTTGAGGTTTTCTCTAGTTCTCGTCAATAGAGCTGGCTCTTCAAAAAAAAAAACCAGGCTGGCTCCTCGGTTGGATAGAGTGGCTCCTGAATTAATTTGCCCACCCCTGCAATAAGGGATACCGTATAATCCTCAAGAATATCCACTCAGCTGCTGCCCAGGATTGTATGCCGGATCACCTGTGAAGGACACAGCTCAATCTTGGAGGACCTTATCATAGAAAGTGGGCTCCAGCTTAATCTTGGAGGACCTTATCATAGAAAGTGGGCTCCAGCTTAATCTTGGAGGACCTTATCATAGAAAGTGGGCTCATGGGGCTTGTTTTTATGTATATATGTTGACTAGAGATGCACCGATACTAATACTGGTATCAGTGCCGATACCGAGTATTTGGGCGAGTACTCACCCAAATGCTTAGATATTTACCTCCGATACGGGAACTTCCGGTCAGAGGGAGATCTCCCACTGACCGGCAGTGCTGAGGGAGCATGGAGCCGGCTTCCTTTCCATTCAGGAAGCAGTGCGGTGGGTTATGACCCGCCCCCCGGCTGCTGATCTCTATAGGAACTTGCTCTTCTTTAATCCTCACATGTCCTTCTTCCTGATTGGCTAGGAAGCCAGCTTCACTTGTTCCTAGGCAGCCTACCTTCCTGACCGATCAGGAAGCCGGGTGGCGAGTCATGACGTGCCGCCCAGCTTCCTGATTGGCTAGGAAGCCGGCTTCATGTGTTACTAAGCAGCCTGGCTTCCTAACCAATCAGGAAGCTGGGCGGCACGTCATGACTCGCCACCCGGCTTCCTGATCGGTCAGGAAGGTAGGCTGCCTAGGAACAAGTGAAGCTGGCTTCCTACCCAATCAGGAAGCCAGGAGGGGAATTACGATGTCAACCAAAAAGCAGTTGGTGTTGTGGCCGGACATTGCTTGACAAGCTACAGGTACCATGTTGATAGCTATGCCCCATTCATCATTTTCTCCTCCTACTGTAGTGCAAGCAGAACAACCACCAGGGGGGCAACAGCGCTGCTTTGGAATCAGGAGCAGTGCAGCATTGTTGCCACCCCATCACAGGAAGGTCTTCACTGGCAGGATCTAAAGGTATTTCTAAGACTTAGCAAGGGAAGTGGAATTAGAGGAGACCTGGGAGTGCAGATGTTCTTACAATCAAGTTCTACAGCAGATTTTTGTTTTTTTTTAATGGAAGGCCATCGTTCTTCTTTACGCAAACTAACACACATTCAGCAATCATTCACCGTATCCTTCTGAACACTCGGAATGTTGTTGTTATAACGCGAACAGTCCAGTTATACCTCAATAAAATGTATTCAAGAGGAAAACTCAATATAGTTACATAGTTACATAGTATTTGAGGTTGAATAAAGACATTAGTCCATCAAGTCCAACCTATTAGGATCTCATTCTAGGAGTACCTGTACCCCTGTATATTACGGTCCCTTAAGAAATCGTCCAAAAGTTTCTTGAACAATTCCACATTCTTTGCTGAAATCACTGTCTGTGGCAACTCAGTGTTCATTCCTCACCTGTGCTGATCTCTATAGGAACTTCCTCCTCTTTAATCCTCACATGTCCTTCTTCCTCCTCCTCAGCTTTGACGTCTCCCTGAGTGTCTCCGGGGTCTGTGAATAGAGATGAGAGTGAAGCCCCCTGTACTCAGATGTATGAGAGACCCCAGAGAGTGTGTGTGGGGGGAGACTGGTCATGTCTCTTGGCTGGTAACACACAATGACATGATGTGAGGAGAGCCGGAGTCTAATAGAGGCGGATGGCTCCTGACTCCCCCCACTAGAAACATTCCGTCCCCCCATTACTGTCTACTGACAGAGGAGGGAGAAGAAGAGATTGTTGTAGTGACTGAACAAGGAGAATCTGGGAGTCTTTTCTGGATTTAGTGTTTATTACTCACCTGTGCTGATCTCTGGAGGGGTTTCCTCCTCTTTACATGGCTCATCATTTCCTTCGAACATTTCTTCATCTTCCACTTTAATGACAATCAGGCCTTCATCCTGGATAAGACACAACGTAATATCTATTTACCAGGTTTGGATTCATGATTTAGGCTGAAACACAAGAATATTAGGTTATGTTAGACTTTCAGTCCCATCTACCTGGTCATCCTGAGGGATCTCCTGATGTTCCTGAGGGATCTCCTGATGTTCCTGTGTGGAGTCCCGGGAATACAGAGGACTGGTCTGAGGGATCTCTTGATGTTCCTGTGTGGAATCCCGGGAATACAGAGGACGGGTCTGAGGGATCTCCTGATGTTCCTGTGTGGAATCCCGGGAATACAGAGGACGGGTCTGAGGGATCTCCTGACGTTTCTGTGTGGAATCCCGGGAATACAGAGGACGGGGACATCTCTCTGGGGTATTTCTGTTCCTGGATCCATCTGTAGGAAACACACACACTGACTGAATACATTGTTTCTATGTCTTTATATCAGAGGATTTGTGTATCTAGGTGGATCCTCAATACTCTTCTCTTCTTTACAAGTCTCCTCTTACCCGGTGATGTAAGGGGCGGCCGGTTCTTCATCATGGTGTCCTTGTGTCCCTCTAGATCCTTCCACTCCTCTGTCCGTAGCTGCAATGAAAGCTGGATGGTAAAGCTGACACTGCAATAAAAGAATATAATATAATACAATAAAACTAAGACTACTTCATTTCTAATATATATACGCCACCCCATCACAGCTCTCTATGCACTGAAGGTATATATTGAAGGCACCTCTTTGTGCCCTGGAAAGGGAAAATGGAGTATACATTCTTATATTTCGTCTCCTCAATATACAATAACCCTCCGGCGACAAGCAATTGCCTTTCTTATGTACCAAGACAAAGGTTGGATCTTTCCGGAATATGAATATGCCCCCATTGCTGTCACCCCCAGCAGAGCTCACCATCTCATCTTCTACACATCACAGGACTTGCAGGAAGATTGTTTAGGTGACATGACCCGCCCCATTCAGTCCACACAGAGTGCTGGGACCCCCTTTCTCTCTTCTTCCTCTCATAATAACAATATATTGTTATTTTTACCTTCTGCTTCTCACACTCTCCAGTCTCACACCCCCTTCAGGAGATTTTTCTTGAGCCAAACCCCCTTCCACTCCCCTAGTCCACAACAAAATGGCCACCGCCCCTTCTGCTCTGCGGACACATCCTCCTCGTTCACGGCAGACAGACGCCCTCTAGTGGTGACTTTGGAATAAACGGTTCTCTGTCAGTCTAGCGGTTGAACAGTGTCCTGTTAGTCAGCTGTGTGTTACTATGGCAACCAGGAAGCGGCTGTGCTGCCTTGGAACGCACAGCGGAAGTCCTGGAGCCACAGGGCGGAAGTGGGAGGAGAATAGTAATGATAGAGAGGGGACAGGCAGCTGTTCAGGCCAGAAGGGGTCTACATTGCACATTGTGGGGCATTTCTTCAGCCTATTATAGAATCATTAATACAACAATATGAATAATTGATTTACTAATATCACTAACATTATTTATATAAGAAACAAACATTTTTGGGCAATCTTTTGTTATCAGTGGGGGTGGGGAGTACCCAGGGCCCCCCAAAAAGAGATAACTAGATGTGTTTTCCCCAGGCAAAGTCCTTTCATAGACCTTCATATGGGCAATCTCTGAGCCGTTCATGACCTATATGGAGGTCTAACCTGGAGGGGCGCGGCTCTCTGTAAGGGGGGCACACTTTTTACACTATTGATCACTTTTTTTATAAGGGTGTGGACTATACATTCGAAGGAGCACTTTGGGTATTTTATAATTTTGTCACACACATATACACTATATTGCCAAGAGTATTGGGACACGCCTCCAAATCATTGTATTCAGGTGTTCCGTGACATTTCCTGGAATGCACCAATACCAGTTTTTCGGTATTGAGTACGAGTACCAATATTTTTTTCCCTTTTACTCACCGATACCAGAAATCCTGTTAAGGAAGCAAGACAGCGTGTAAAGACTCGCTATCCGGCCTCCCGATCAGCAGGGAAGCCGTCTCCATGCTCCCTAGTCACCAGGTGTACCAGTACTGGCCCAAATATTCGGCACCGGCCCCGGAGGGGGGTGGGCCATGACGTTACCGTTCTCTAAACCAGGGCTTCTTAAAGTGTGGGTCGCGACTCCATATGGGGTTGCACAGGTGTAAATGGGGGGGGGGGCCAGGATCAGAGCTTTCTTTAACGCAGCAGAAGTGGAGCACAGCTGCTGGAGGTAAGGTTGCGTGAAGGTTGCGTGATCGTCGTCGGAACAGTCGCGCTATCCCGGTCGCGCGGATCCGCTCAAGGTAAGTGTCGCTCAGTGTGAACGGGGCCTAAAGTTAAGGAGCGGGGGTAATGG